CAAGGAAAACTGCTCTGATATTCTAGAACCAGAGGGCAAACTAGAAATGGAAAGCATCTACCTATCACCTCCTGAAAGAGATTCCCAAAAGAAAACCCCTAGGAATATTATAGCCCATATCTAGAGTTCCCAGGAGAAAATACTGCAAGCAGCCACATAGAAACAATTCAAGTATTGTGGAAACACAATCAGGATAACACAAGATTTAGCAGCTTCTACATTAAGTGACCAGAGGGCTTGCTTGGAATATGATATTCTGGAGGGCAAAGGAGATAGGATTACAGCCAAGAATCACCTACCCAGCAAAACTGAGTATAATCCTTCAGGGACATTCAGTGAAATAGAGGACTTTCAAGCATTCTTGATGAAAAGACCAGAACTGAATAGAAAATATGACTTTCAAATACCAGACTCAAGAGAAGCATGAAGAAGTAAATTGGAAAGAGAAACCATAAAGGACTTATTAAAGATGATATTTGTAACTCATGAGACCTTTGTCAGTAGTAGGATAGTTGGAGGGAAAAAATTAGATAGACAGATAGATAGGTAGATAGATAGATAGATAGATAGATAGATAGATAGATAGATAGACAGACAGACAGACAGATAGATAGAGGGCACAGGGTGAGTTGAAGATGAAGGGGTGATATCTAAAAAATAAATTAAGAGGTGAGAGAGGATTATATTGGGAGAAGGAGAAAGGGAGAGGTAGGATGGGGTAAATTATCTCACATGAAACAGACAAAAAAAAAGCTTTTACAGTGGAGGAGAAGTGGGGGAAGGCGAGAGGAAATGAGTGAATCTTATTCTCATCAGATTTGGCTTAAGGAGAGAATACCATACACACTCAATCAGGTATGGAAATCTATCTTACCCTACAGGAAAAGAGGGGGGGAAGGGCATAAGGGCAGGGGGAGAATGATAGAAGGGAGAGTAGACTGAGTGAGGGGGTAATCAGAAACAAACACTTCTGAACAGGGACAGGATCAAAAGAGAGAATAGAATAAATGAGAGGCGGGATAGGAAGAACGGAAATATAGTTAGTTTTCCACAACATGACTACTATGGAAGTGTCTTGCATGACTACACATGTATAGCATGTATTGAGTTGCTTGCCATCTCAGTAGGGAGGGAGGGAGGGAGAGAATTTGGAACCCAAGGCTTTCAAAACAATGTTAATATTTGTTTGTACATGCAACTGGGAAATAAGATACATAGGCAATGGGGTTTAGAAATCTATCCTGCCCTACAGGAAAAAAAAGGGAAAGCGTATTGGGCAGGGGAGGTGATAGAAGGGAAGGCAGATTAGGGGAAGAGGTATTTAGAATGCATGCCATCTTGGGGTCACGGGAGGAGTGAGATGGGGAGAAAATCTGGAACTCAAGATCTTGTGGAAATGAATGTTGAAAAGTAAAAATTAATTTTAAAAATGATTCCTCCCATTATAATATTAAGTATGATACATCCATTAAAGTCCTATATTTTATGTAGCCTCAGATTCTGTCTGGGCCTGATGTCTGAGGATCAGCTTGGCTAAGTTTGGAGAGAGATTCACTAGTAGACGGCTGCCCAAGAGGTAATTACTATTTTTTTGGCAGTGGCAACTTGAGAGGATCATGGGCATATCCCCACAAATGAAATATGAGAGTTTTAAAAAATGCTTAAAGTTAATATCAGACTATAACCAATGTCTCTGAATTTCCTTTTCCTCCTTTGTTTCAATATTCATTTCTCTATTCCCCTAAAGAAAAGTACTTTATCACCTCTACAATACATCATGTCAACAACACACAAATTTACTCAATTTATCTTCTGAGTCCTCTATGAAATTCTTGCCTGTAACATCATTTACTTGGCTAGAACTCACTCATTTCCTGAGCATATTCTTCAACTTCTAAAAGCTGTCTACTTCTGAAATATCTTTGTGTGTACATTTAAGGATAGCTAGATGAATGCAGTGGATAAAGTCATGAAGACCCCTCTAGCTTAAGAGCTAAAGTGCTATCAACAAATAGTATGTGCTACACAAATGTTAGCTATTATTACTATTATTACTTTAATTTAAGATTCACAGAATATTAGAGATGGAAGGGGCTGAAGCAACTACCTAGCCAACTCCATCGTCATTTTACAGACAAGAAAACTGAATTCCAAAAAAAAGAAGTTATTTATGTAAATTAGACCCATTTTCATGTTCCAATTTCTTCAAGAAGCAAAGCTTCCCCCAATTACTTCAACCAATATTCATCTTCCCTTCCCTAAATTACTACTGAACTTATAATTCAGTATCACAAAATTAATAACCTATTTGTTCTTAATAACAAAAGTTATTTTATGCTTTGTTCCTCAATTAACCTATAAGTTTTCTGACAGCAGGGCTTTATTTTCATCGGTATCAGGCACAAAACAGACATTCAATAAATATTTGTTGATTAATCTGAAAAGAAAGCAAAGGGAAAAAAATGCCTCACATTTCATTATCTCACAATGCAATATCTTTTGCCAGGTTCTGTTTCCAATTACCCATCAAATTACATTAACTATCTTCCAAATATGTAGCCTATCTTGAGTTAGCATCTTCTTCACACAGGAAGCATAAGACCATAAAATTAGGGAGAGAATTCCCCTTTGGTCTGGACAGTTCTGGTTGAATCTTTTCACTGCCTTCAATATTTTAAGTTACTAGTATCTTCCTATTAAACATTATTATCAATAAACTTTCATCATAATACTCAATTATTTTATATAGCACCTTGATCTCTTTAATGATAAAGATGTTAGAGACATCTAAAAAAAACATGTTCTACCCATTTCTATACTTTGCAGTATCATTTTAATGATATTGAAAATGAAAAATTTCTTTTTGATTCTATAAAAACATACAAACACCCACCTACACACTCATATTTCTGTTGCTGTAACCTTTTACAACAGGACAATTTCTTTTCAACCTATTTCCCTTTACTGTAGTACTTGGCACAAAAGATGATCAATCAAAGTAAGTTGTCTAATGAATGGGACAAGAAAATTCATCCCAAATTCTTCAAAAGTTCTTCTTTGATATTGTGATTTAGAGGCAACCCTAGGTTTTTAAATGCTACAACAGCAGAGCAACAAGCACTAGCAACTAGCAAATCCTACACCAAGCTAGAAAAGCCTCAAACACTGGTCTAATAATGGAGTATACAAACCAGAGAGGTTCAATTCCAACTCCATCAAAAGATCAGTAATTTTTCAGCTACAGAAACTCACAAAGGGCCATAAAATAAAGAAGAGAGGACTGTGATACATGTGACCTGTGTCAATGGTTCTAGTACTCAAACCAAAAAAATCACATATCCTTAAGTACTGAAATAAATTATATTAAAAATGGCAATCAGTTTAAATCCTGAGCTAGCCCTTCTAACAAATATAAATATGCCACAAAGGAGATGCCAGGATTTAAATTTTTTCCTTAATGACCAAATATATAAGGCTTGAGTATAGTCTGTGGATTTCAATTATGTACCTTTTACTTGATCTCAATTATCAAGCATGAAGTCCACCAAAATAAAAAATGTTTGTTACAATGATGATTTCCTTACCTTTAAGGAACTGCATTTAATTATACATTGTGTCAGGCTACAGCTATTAAAAAATACTATCTGATACTAAACGGCAGATACTCAGTATCCACAAAAACATTTAAACTAATTAGAGTCAAACATGGCAGATGATCTATTTGCCTTAATTCTTTTAAGGACTTTCAGAAACAAAACAATAACACAAACACAAGGCACCTCGTTTCATAAAAGCTCACCCAAAGGCTCACTAGACATATGTTGGATTTTTACTCTATGTAGTAGAACTGTTTTTGTGGATATGACATGACTTGTTGATTTTACAAATCTATGTAATAATTTAAGAGTTTGACCATATTTTGTTCCATCTAATGCTGATTTTCCAACAGAGAATATTAGACCACAGTGTTCTCAAAAGAACACTAAAACTTTTAATTATACTAGCTAAGACTACATTCTCAGAAACACTATGTTTCTTTAAGTCTCCTTTCTTTCTATCATGCCAAGTTAAAAAATAAACTAAATGTGTCAAATTAGATCTCTTAAGAATGCATCTCTTCTGCCAATGTTTAAGTAACCAAATGAGTTTACCTAAGAAGAAAAAGACAGAGAATTTTAAGTAGCCACAGTCAGAGAATAAATTCAAGATTTGCACACTGGAATTCTATATCAAATCAATATAAATCTCTAAGCTAAAAACAAAGATTTTTCCAAGTTTCTCCATTTTAACACACCACAGATGCTGAAAATGAAGGTGCAAGAATGTGAAAGAATATATTACTACTACCAATGGGCATACAGAATGCAAAATTTGCTGTTTTTCTTGATGCCATATGAAGGCACTATGTTCCTTAATGAATCTATATAACTAAAAGCAATAAAAATCCTTTAAATATATGCAACTCAAAATGGACACTGGCAGCTTTAAGTGCTGAGTTTTAAAGATTGCTTTTATTGACTCTGCATATACCAGCTTTCAGTTTATGAACTCCAAAAGCAAACATCGAGCTTTGACATTTCATTTGTTTAAAAAAATGCACTGAAGGTATTAAAAATTAATTTAAGATGGTTTTTAAAAATTAGTTGAATAAGGGCAAGGTTGAACCCAATGTATAAATTACCCTAAGTCGTAGAAAATGTACACTTAAATACTGAAGAAGAAATCAGGTAAATTTATGGCCATTTCCTCTACTTCTGAACTTTGTTCATTTATTTCAGCACATATTCATGAAATTCCCACATGGAGGGCACAACGTATTATGAAATAAGGAGAAATAATGATCCAATGTAGAAAGGTGCTTTTTTGTGAGGGGATGGGGGGGGAGTAATGGTAGAATTATATAGGAGAAGAATGTCAATTTCATACTACAATTCAAAAGAAAGGAAGCTGTGAAGAAAAAAAATAGACAAGTCTTTAGAGATTTCAAGAGGGCAACTTACCCAAGTTATGTCGCTTTGTCTTTGCGTGCTCATGAATATGTTTCTTTGTAAAACAGCCAAAGAAGACACAGTAGAGGCAAGAGTGGAGTCTATTTAAGTGGGCGCCACACATATGACAGATGCAAGACTTTGCCTGGAAAACAAAAGAGAAAAAAAAAATCAATAAAAGCCAAGAAGAATCCAAACATAAATGACTGGATAAAAAGTACAGGCCAACAGATTAGGGAGGAGAGTCTGGGAAACCTTTATTTATTTATTAATTGGGACTCAATCTCAAAAAGGGCAATGAACAAAAGAAAAATTTTTATTCAGACAGAACTATATTCTCTAAAATGCTTTTCAATTCCTCAAAAATAGCCACATACTAATAGCCTTTATACCATAATCTCACTTATTCACACATAGACAAGTATCCAGTAGTCAAGATAAATGCCACACTACAGATCATGCATTTTATTCATAGGACAAGCTCTAAGTCTCTTACTAAGAACAACTTTAACATGAAGTGACAATTAAGAGCAAAAAACCAAACTTTTCATAAAAGGACTAAATCGTAGTTCACATTTCTATAGCTTTCCAGATTAATACAATATTTTCCTCACAACTTGGTGTGATAAGCAATTCAAGTTATTATTTGCTCATTTAACAGGTGAGAAACTGAGGCTCAAAGTGACTTGTCCTTGGTGCTACAACAAGTAAGCATCATATCCAGAATTCAAAGGCAGCTCCTCAAGCTCTTTCTACTACCCTACGCTCTCTCTCTAGGCACAAAGACTTAAAATGACAACGCATGGACAGCCATCTGCTGCAGGGGCAATTCCATATCTCAAAAGATCATAAGCCCAGTAAAACAATGGATTTTTCATAATGATGACCTAAATTATGTTCAACATACTTTGTTCAGGAAGTCAGGGAAGCATGTTTTTATTTTTTCATTTTAACAAACCTAGATGGACATATTTCTAAAAGGTTTGACACATTTTAAAGAGGTTGGCTTTAGTTGCAATATGCATTACTACGGGAGTACTCACATGGATGAGATCACAGATCACTGAAGCTCAGATTATCTAGAAAATTCACTTGACTTGATGAGCTTATTTCCTAAATTTAGACCCCTAACTAATGAGCTATTTCATATCAAATGTTCACGTTCTCATTCTGTTTAGATAGGTTGCTTCCCAACTTGTACATGACTATTATAAAGAGAACAATCCAAGTGGCTCACTTAAATAAGAAGAGCTACAGCCTGCATGAAGGTTTTCATTTAAAAGTCATGCTATCCCTCCCCAACAGCCACCAGGAGACAACTAGGAATTTATGTTGTCTTTTGGTTCAATATCTGCATACATATATCTCACTAAGCTTTTTCCATTTTCAAGATACATTCTTGAACTAAAATTCTCTCATATTTGTTTCTGGGTGAATATGGCTGAACATGTCTAAAAGATGGCCAAGTTAAAGACACTATGTTTCTACTCATGAGTTTTTGATAAGCTTTGAAATTAAAAAAAAAACATTTCAAGTTGGTAAGTAGGGTTCAGGGAAAATTAAGATTTTAAAAACATCGACTGAGTAATAGTCTAGGCAGAAAAGACTATTCTCCCTTCTTTCTGCCAAATTCTGCACCCTGTATCACTTAAAATCAAACAACATTCTTCAATGTAACATGCTCACTCACTTCTTCTGCGTATATACATGTATCTGTGCACAAACACATGTACTCATGCTCCTTGTGTTATAACAACTTTGTGCAGTTGTTATACTTGTAAATAGTAAAACTCAAGTCGCATTTATCTGTCATAGAAGCAGCAAATAGTATTTAAAAAGCAAACTGAACTTCTTTCTTACTGTGCGTATAGGCTTCAAGTCTGCTTAACATAAACAAGTTACCTTAATCTGCTGCAAAATTTCAAAGAACAACTTTCTGGACAACTGTGAAATATGGTTTCCCCAAACTTCAGCAAATTTACTTTTATTTAAATACTATTTATATGACAATGACATTATACTTACAACTTAGATTACAATACATGACTTTATAAAGAGCATACAAAATATTTACAGTCTCTTTCCCTGTAACTGAAAGCTCTAAGTGCCTTTCTTCTATATATAACAACACTTGCATTAACAATTACACATCCAACTACACATTTTGTTGTCAAAAAAAATGTTCCAGGCTAACATAATATCAATGCTAGGCAAGAGACTCATTCCAACTAAAATACAGCCAGGCAATCAGCCAGAAGCTGTCAGCAACGGGTTTCAGTTTTGACAGGGTGGAGGAGGTGGCAGGAAATGGTTCAGGAATGTCCTCTCCAGGAGGGAAGGCCATCAACAAGGGTGAGAAAGGAGAGGCTATGATCTCAAAAAGAACTTCACTGATAATTTGTCTTGGAACTGCATTTTTTACACACTTTTTTAAAAATCCAATTCAATTTATTATCAGCTACAAGTTTGCAGCTTTATTAACCTTAAACTATGCACAAAGCTCATGAAACCTCAAGTGGCGGTAACTGTCCTGGGGTGGGGTGGGGGGGACACAGAAGCACTTTAATAAATGCTAATGTTTAAAATGTTAGTATTTAATAACCCCTACTGTGTACAAAGTACTCTGATAAGCACTTGGTAAATATCTCATATGATCCTCAACAACCTGGGAGGTAGGTGCTTTTATTATCTCCATTTTAGAATTAAGGAAACTGAGGCAAACAAAGATTAAGTAACTTGTCCTGGATCACACACCTAGCAACTACCCTGGGCTGGATTTGAACTCAGGTCTTCATGATTTCCAGGCCCAGTGCTCTATCTGCTGTGCAACCTAGCTGTCATGTGGTCAGTTTAATGGAGAAATAGCCACTGTATGTGCAAGCCAACACTAGCTGATGTAGTTTTAAAAACTAGTCAACAGTCAATAAAGACGCTTCATCAGAATTTCAGAAGACTTGAAAAGACCAACTGAATTTTTTTGTTAGTGCATGTAGTTACAACTGATTAAATGCTGACAATTTTCTTATCTTTGCTGATAGTTATTAAAGTTCATAATAAAAAATTAAGTTTTATTCTTAGAAATTTCATCAAGTTATTTTCCTATCATACAAAAACCCCCAAAAAATATAATATGTACCCACAAACACAAAACGTATTTCACAATATTTGTGAATATCAAAATTTAGAAAGGTGGTATAAAATATGGTTAAAAAACACATCTCGTATCTGCCTCAAACATTTGTTATAAACGTCAAATGAGAACATTTGCAACAATTTGCAAAGCGTAAGTAACTACAGAAATGCCAGTTTACTTTAAAAAGTCATCCAAGGGGCAGCTAAGTGGAGCAGTGGATAGAGATCTGGCCTGGGAGTCAGGAGGACCTGAGTTCAAATGTGACCTCAGACAGCTGACACTAGCTGTGCGACCCTGGGCAAGTAACTTAACCCCAATTGCCTCACCAAAAAGCCAAAAAAAAGGTCATCTGAGCAAATCTATAGCACCTGAGATCTGAGAAGGGCTCCTTACTCAGTGCCCATCTTTAGGGTTATTAAGATCAGTACGTGGAGGTGAGAAACTGTAAGAAGCAGGATAAAAGAAATCATCAAGGGCAGGAGTGATGGGAAAAGGCAGCTCAAGCATATCACGAGAACAATGGATAAAAGACAGGAAGCCCAAGTGTCACTGTAGTTTCTGTAAATATTAACTGAACCAAAAGAAAACATCCAACTTAACAGGTGTGTATCCTCTCTATGGAAAACTTATGGCTTTAAAGTCAGGGAGGAGAAAGGACAATGTGATCACCTGAAGGGAGTATTTACATTGTTGAGATCATAGATTTCACAGATCCAAAGCTAACCAGCTAACTGTACACCCTCAAAAGACACAATAATGACCAAATGGCAAAAATAACAGGAAGTTTGTGACTATTAAACATGGACACACTGAGAGAATTGGGATATATTCAAAACACTTGTTGGCTGTGACCTCAAGTTGCTTAACCATTTCTGACTTCAGCTTCCTTATCTGTAGAATAAGAAAGTCGGACTTGATGACTTCTAAGATCTCATCTCATGGATCTATGATCCACGATTTAGAACCTAAATGTTCAATATGCCTCTCTAGATTTAAACACATAGCCATTCTGCCATTCCTCAGGAGATATGACAATCTTTTACAATATACTGGACTGGATCCAACTAATAGATAAATTCCTGAGAGTAAGTCAGGCCCCTTTTGGAAATTATTTAACTTTATGACTCCAATAATCTTCTAAAGGATTATGCTCTTGGAAAGTTACAAAAGTCACATATTCCAAAGACAAAACTATGATTAGCACCTGAGTTAATTCACTGGTCCAGTAGTCTTTTTTTCTAGGGGTCAGAGGTTTACAAAATACATAAAGATATGATCCAAATACTAATTCATGTTTGAAAATGAAACACAAATCCAACACCAGCTATTTCTGGTTCTTATTAGTATAGACCAAGGTGGAAGCTGGAAGTAAAGGGACCTATAGTCTGAGTCATTCAATTTCCAAACTCAATAAAGCTATTAAATACAAACCAATGCTGAGTCATTTCATTCAAGGATGCAGCAGAGTCCAAAAGCAACATGATGACCTCTCAGTGACTCATCAATGAAGAGAACTGCACCTATAAATATTTCAGCTTTTTAAAAATTAACCTTTTCCATATTCTTTGTTCACAATAGCTAGTTGAAATCATCTTCTAAGATGGAGGATTTTAGAGAGTGTCTTTGATATTATTTCATAAATTTCCATTAATCTTTCTTTCAAATGTAGCACTAGGCCCAGCTAATTTAGCAACATACATACTCACAAAGTTAATGCTGTATGTATAGGTACCTAGTAGCAAATTATTAGGGTAGGATCACTCTCCCTTCCTGAGTTCAAGAGAAGCTAAGAACTGAAATTCTATTAAACAGATTCTTGTATGATTTTCTCCCAGGGGGCAGGGAGAGAGAAGAGCTTCACCTCTGGCCTCTCTGATCAGATACTTAAACCACAGCATTTGCAGTCCATTAGCAAAAAACGAGGCATTAGGTATTGAAGCTCCAAGTAACAGCATTTCACAGCTAGAAGGGACTTTACTGATCATCTAAGTTCAACCTCCTCATTTCACAGG